GTGTATGTCCAACGAAAGAATTAGTACAAGCTAAAAAAAACTTTTTAGGTCTTTTGTTACGTAAAACCCTATTCTATAAATATTCTGGTGGCTTTCTATAATAGAACGTCTTGTTAGTATTATAAATCAAGAACGGCTGAATTCGGATGAAAATTGATAGAGATATTTAGCTTAGAAACAGGAAATGGCCATAGCATATTTTTATTCCGTTTCATTTTCCCGCATAGATAGAGTCGTGGGCAAAACCTAAATACTTATAAAACTGGGAATAGTTTTGTGGAACCATGTTTTCCGTCCTTACCCTATATGTATATATTTATTGTACCTATACCTGTATGTTCTTTCATGAAAATGTCACTTTACTGTTCTAATATTTCTGCATGTATTAAAAACATTCTTTCCTATTGAGTTATAATTAACATTAGCTTTTTCCCGCGACACTATCCGCGCGGAATTAAAAAAAAACTTTATTAATAGTTTATGTGTGATTTTTCACACTACGTTCATCTATGCTAAATTTCAAAAAGATCATTAAACTAAACTTTCGCTATTTATATTAGTAAGATTTAATTATTTTGTATTCAAGGAGTATTTCCTTTTTCAATATTCACAATAATACGCGAGGCATATAACGGTGGCCTCACACGACACGGTCGCGTTTTCCGTTGTTAGGGTGAGCTCACACGATAACATGTTTTATTCAACGCCTTGTAGACGGTTCTCTTTGCCTTTGTTAAGCTCTTGTACTCTGAATAGCTTTAATTACTTTCGAAATGGTGTTTTTATAGCAGCACTCACAGGGCTCGTGTTGGTTTTATTAAATTCCACCTTGAATTAACGCCTTGATTAACTCTTATAACGTATTAATCGTTAATTAAATGTTCATTAGTCTAGTGCATAATTAATTTATTTAATAAGGTTTCTCGAGCAATGTGAGTTTTAATGATATACGCCATTTCAAAATTTCATTTTTGTATTTCAATATTGAATATCGTAAAATAAAGCTCTTTTTCCAATACAAATTATAATAAAATAATTGCAAATTCAACTATGTTGGACAATGAAATTTTTAATCTATATATTATGTTTATTTAAGAAGATTAAGAAGGAACCGAAGTCTATTGAGATACTTGAAATACTTCAGACAATATTAAATATTGCATAATATTGAAACAGATTCACTACCAGTGGGCAATTAATTTACGAAAGCTTGCCTTTGAGGCGCCCCTTGCTCGAGCAAAATGATTACCAGTTGGAGAACTATAGCGTACATATGCCACTTTACCACCAGACATACTTACCAACTCCCAGAGAAACTTAAATGAGTTACTCAATGTTCTACTTTGAACTATGTTTGATTGCATTGGGGACAAATTATTTTTGAGAAACATATGTTCATGTTTCCAAAGGTTAATGCTACGAAAAAGTCTTTTAACCCAAGCAAATTTTGCGGTTTTTATCCACTTATAACTGCTAACTTTACGCTTACTCAATAGTTTACCGGTAGATTACAAAAATACTGTTAATTAATTTGAAGTTTTCCTCTTAACCAATTCCTTCAACCGCCTTTTATACTTTCATCTATTCCCTTTTGCTAACTAAATATAGCATCTTTTAATCTTGTGATGTTTATGCTACTGAATCAATATTTATATAAAGACTAGCTGCCGCCTGCGACTTCGTGCGCGCGCTATTAAAAATAAACTTAATAAGTAACCCAAGTGTTCTTCCAAAGTATGTTCTACATCTTTGCCAAATTTCAGCGAGATTCATGCAGCTGTTCCGGAGATACCTTCAAACAAACATCCATCCATCTCAACATTCGCATTAATAATATTAATAAGATATGAATTTGCTATGCCCACGTTTATTTAGTTTAATATAGAAACCGTAGTATAAATTATTCAAAACCTTTATGGTCGACTTCATTTCTTATATTATGCAACGAATACATGAATAGCGAACAAGGCTTACCGTTCGAAGTCAAAGAAATATTTCCTTTGGAAAAAACTTATAAAGCAGTGAAGGTAACCGCGACGTCTGAATTGACCATCGACTTTAACTTTCCGGGAACTAAGTCTCGACAGAAATGTAAAGCGCAATTTAAACTTGACGAAGTGAAAATTTATAAGTATTCAATTTTAATAAGTTTCTTCTTGTTCTGTTCTTTCTTATAAAATGTTAACAAGCTTAATTTTTTTAACTTTATTGTTTTCTTATAGTAGTTTTTTTTTATCTTACTTCTTATTAATATTATAAATGCGAATGTTTGGATAGATGGATGGATATTTGAAGGTATCTCCAGAACGGCTGCATGGATCTGAAATTTGGCATAGATACAAAACAAAAACATGTTTCCTTGAAGAACATTTAGGATACTAATAGAGTTTTTTTAATACGCTAAGGTAATACGAATTACTCACTACAAATCTATTTTATGTTCTGGCTGCCTTTTGTTTTACGATTTAGTTGTGAGTTCACTTTCAAAGACTATTAGAGAATTTCATTAGAACGATTATCCCATGTTAAACACGATTAAATTACTTTAGTTAAAATATTAAACATTCCTACTTTGAATGAGGTTGTTTCTAGTCTAGAGAGTAGACTGAGTTAGCGAAATCTCCCCTATGTTTTATTTTTTATTTCGTTGACAAGTCTAGGCCAGTATTCAGAGGTCGTACGATATTTTTTTTGGCAATACATCAAGAATGGCACCGCTATCAACAAGTGGCGGTGCCTATAAATCTTGACCGCAGACGGCTTTAATTCCGCCGATACGCCGCGACGAAAAGGTCCGAAAGTGGGAATTTTATTCGGCCACCTGAAATAAGACATTCCATTTGTTGACATCGTGACGTGCGTCCGAGGTGTGATATCGAATTGAATGTCCCTTTTTTCTCATGTTATTTATAGACATTCTTTTTGATATTGATGAAAAACGTTGATATTATTTCGTATAAATTTTTTTCTTCATTTTACGTTAACCTACTTTCTTACTGGTCAATTGGTTTTAAAAGTAAAAATACTTATTGAAATAGTTTTTATTTAAGTATGCTTAACATTCATACAGCGTATCAACATAGACATAAGTCAGCTTAAACAGATTTTGAATTTTACATAAAGTTAATTTAAACCATCAACTGAATACAAGCTGGACGAGCTAACATAATGGAGCGACCCTACTGAGTTATGGAGAGAGTTTCCAACAATCAGAATCCGCAATGCAATATCAAAGCCCGGCGATGGACGTAAGCCACTGCCTTAACTTCTGGCCTCAGTTATCTCAGCGGGACACTCATATTTTCGGCTTCTAACACTAATCCTCAACAGAATTGCCGACTTCTTGTTTGCAGCGAATTATTCTTAAGCCGTAACCGTAATTATATGCTTTAGTTCTACTACTACGTAAGGACGATATGCAAATTATGGTCAAAAACCGTTTCACATCTACAATATTCCATACTAAAAAAACTGTTGATGTTATACTATCCTTGAATCTTTTAGAATAATTATTCGTGTGTTAAAAAACATAACTCGCTATTGTTTTTTAATTAAATATTTTTCAAACCATTGGTTTATCAAATATACGTGAACATAACACGTCTATCAATGTAAAGAGGAATAAAGAATTTTATTCAACGCATTCATCTTTTCAACAATTGCATTTATGACTCACTTATCAAGTCAGAATCCAAAAATAAAATTTGCGTCTTTAACATATCAAACACGTCACAGTCCTCCGCCCACGCACGATGTACTCGGAACGTAACGGAACCATCCCGTGGGTGCCGTAAGACTTTGCCCCGGATTTATGCTAAAACAGGCTAATTAACTGTAATACGAAGTCACTTTGGTCCACGTAATGAGATAAATCAGATATGTTTAAGTATAAATAAGATTAATCAAATAATATTTTAGATTTATCATCATCAGATATATATTTATATTTTTTATCATATTCGTCCAAATTACCTATATATTAAGTTCATGAAAAGTAAAATTGTTCTAAAAAAAACTGCTTCCGCAATCTTATAACTTTGATATCCCGACTATCTTTATGTTCCTAAACTTTGATATAAATCTCTAACAAATTAGCAATTTAACACATATTTATCGAAAAGCTATCCCCGAATCCCCAATTTCATATATCTTTGCTTATCCCTACAAGGGAAAAGTTTCAATTGAGTAAGCCTACGTTGGGAGAAAAATTGTAAAAGTTTTTCTTTTGACAATATTGAGGTGACTCGACAATCTGTTTTCTACGAAAATAATGTTCCGCTAAAGTCCTCGGGAAAAGCTTTTTACATATCATTTGTTGGCATTATGAAGTGTTTTCCCTTTAACTTTACTTTTGATATATCATTATTGAGAGCAATTGTAACAAACTGATTTATTTTAAACATTTTTGTAATATTATGTTGTATTAAACATATTTGTGATGAGGACTGTAATTAATTTATTTGTTTAAAATTTAACTACTCGTATTAGTATAAAACTGACTGAAAACAATAAAATAAAACCGTGAAACTCAATTAAAAATAAAACAAACGAAACGAAACATTGGTGGAAATAACAAAATGAAAATGGTTTCCATATTTTATGCAGAGGCGTATTAAAGCAGACGTCATAATATAATGACAAGCACAAGCAAACTGCACTATCGAATTGTAAATTGGAATTCAAAGTTGACATTAACGATAATAACTTAATAAAATAAACCGTAAAATACTTTATTATTTTAAAATCTGAAAGGTATTCATATTCAAAAGAATAATATATATTCTTTTGAATATGAATAAATTTAATTGTGATTGGAAAATTAGTGAATATTTTATATATGTTACGCTTTCTGGTTCCACATATCTACAGTTTGGTTTAGATAACCTATAAACCCAACTACAGGGTTGAAGCCTCAATCCTTATTTATCCACCTCCAATAAAATATGCCAAGTATGTTCAACTGTTTGTGATTGTCTAATGTTTTATTGTATTGTTACCAGCTGGGGGAAGGGGTGGAGCTGACGCTGGGCGAACTGCGCGCGATGGCGCTTCGACAGCAGCAGCAAATCGACACGCAGCATCAGCTGCTCTGCGCCAAGGAGCAGCGCTTGAGGTACCTCAAGCAGCAAGAGGCGCGCCAGCACCAGGTAGGTCAAAAACAGTATATGTAGCATAGAAAGAAGTCTAAATCATAGTGTTTACACGTGACTGTCTCGAATGAGGCGAGTTGGTAGCACTGAATGTGTTAAATGTTCTTTCTCCAGTACTATTTCCAAAGCAATGCAATTCAAGAAATATTTTAGTAGTAAAGGTCATATAGTTTCATTTACAGTTTCACTTTCGCGCCCTTATCTAGCTTTCAATTATTCTTACTAACCAATGGAACAACTATTTAGATTTTTATAAAAAAAAAACACTGTAACTATCCATGTCGGAAAAGGTAATCACATCACGGTTGAATACCAAAACAAAAGTAAATTTCAACTATGATTTTGGTATCTAGTTTAAAGAAATAGTCATTCGATTACCATCACAGATTATTGTCTGTATGTTCCGAAGATAACCATTTCTCATTTTCTAAATCTCAGTTGATAAATTGAATAAACAAATCGCAGCCGGACGTTATTGTACTAAAGACCTTTACTGCAGCTGTCAGTTCTCTTGCCAATCTCGACTTCAATACAATTAAAGTCTATATAAGGCCATTCGTACACATGGCGATGTTAACAAAGTCTGCCGATTTTAGTCGCTAACCGACATACGCGATACAAGGACCAATGCTTCTCATGCAACCTGTTTCTCTGACGATCTTCGTCGTTAGAAAGGTCGATGTTTTGAAGATGGCAGAGCAAATCTGCATCAGTTAATACTTTGTAAATAGCCGTGTAGGCGCTATGCCTGCTATCGAATAGAAAACTCCTGTTGACGATTCATTGCTGTATGAAGATCGTATAGTGCGATAATAGAAACGCAAGTGTACACTTTTTAGTTTTAAACATTTACGTCGCTTTGTGTACGGAGGCCCTAAATCTCGCAGTCATTCCAGTATATATCACGTATTCGTTTGGATGTTAGAAAAAATATTAGCTACTTGATAAATGTAAAGAATACATAATCAAGTCAAAAACACTTTCCCTATAGACAAATATATTCATATAGTTATAGTAGATACATTCAACAACAGCTTTAGTAATTTACAGTCACATTTTACTTAAACTAGAGCCGTCATAAACCGTTTCATTGCTTGTTACACAGAAGACAGTTCGGTATAAAGGAAATATTAAACTGTTTCACTACTTAATTTGCTTTGAAATATAATTCTACTTGACATTCAAAGACGTTAAAATAATAAGGATAAAAGGCACTAGAATTGTGTTTCCACTTTCCTTAATTTGTAAGTTATCTTCAAAGAGCTTATATAATTAAAGGTTAATTTACATAGAGAAAATCTGATGAAAGATACAATCGCCAATATTGACTCCATCAATTGTTACCTAAGAATAAATTTGTAAAAAATATTTGAGGTTTTATTATGCATGTAATTTATTATGTTCTAACTCACTCAGAGACGTTTCAAGTTGACATAAGCACACCCTTTGTGTTAATTACCCGTAATATTTAATTTAAGCTAAGGAAGAGTCCTTTAGAAACCAATGTATTATACTCGTACTATGCGTCGGTTAATATTGAAAGCATTTATCTTACCATAATATTATAGTAATATAAATGCGAATGTTTGGATGGATGGATGGATGTTTGTTTGAAGCGACCTCGATGAAATTTGGCATACATATAGAACATAGTCTTGTAGGATACATAAGCTACTAATTATGTTTTTTTTTAATTCCGCGCGGACAGATTGGCAAGCGAGCACTAGTGTAACATAAGCAACTAATTAATGTCTGAATGTGACTTTGTAAATAATCCTTTCCCCACGACCCACTTCTGTCTCGTCCGATTGGGAATTTAATAACGTTCTCGAGATACTTATTGCAAAGATGCTTTTAAAGCCGACAGTTTAAGACTTTAACGAGCACTAAAAGATTTATCCGAGACATTCTTCGTGAAACATATAAGAAAACACTTTAATAAAATATTTTATTTATATTGTCACAGGTGTCGCAAAATGTATCAATGTAAGTGTAGTTTAGTAGTTTTTAGTAGATAAAAATACAGACAGATAAAGAATACCAAAAAACTTTTGTTCATCAAAAACGGGAATAAGTTATATTTTCTTAATATTACTAAAGATTTTCTTAGTTAAAGTTTTGGTTACCACTGATACTATGTCTTACTAATATTGTAAATGCGAATGTTTGGATGGATGAATGTTTGTTGCAAGGTATCTCCGGAACGGCTCAAGGGGTTTTTAATAAGTTCTGCGCGGACGGAATAGCGGGCGACAGCTAGTTTCTACATAAAGATTATATTTATTTACTCTTTAAAGCCAAACATGAAAATACGTTAAACAATTTACCTTCGGATTTGCGATAAAATAATTATTATTTTCCTGTTTTATAGTTAGCAAGCCAAATTACTTCGTGTTTATTCGATTGTATTCAATAGCAATTATTGTTTCTATCTGTTGGTCCGTCGCCAGAGTTTATAACAATGGTGATTGTAAATACGTATAGCAAACTTTATTATGGACATTAATCTATTACTAGTTTTACAGTCATGTTGTCTAGAATAGTACAAATAGTCGTTTTATATTTAACTAGCTGTCGTCCGCGACTCCGTCCGCTAGGTATTAAAAAAATACTTATTTAGTAGCCCACGGGTTCTTCTAGGCTATGTTCTATACCTATGTCAAATTTCAGCAAGATTCATGCAGCCTTTCTGAAGATTTTTTCAATTAAACATCCATCCATCCATCCAAACATTCGCATTTATAATATTAGTAAGACAATATTTAAACACTTATCATAGGAATCTAATTAAGTATTACGAAATAAATTGTGTTTGATTGCGAAAGAAAATTTTCATATTTAATCAAATAAATCTGTATTGTAAATAAACAGCAATATTAAGACTTATGGTCTTAAAAACAAGAGCTAATTTTGCTAAGCTAATTTAAAGTTTATGAGAACTTTATATTAACTTAGCTTAATGAATTAGTTTTCTCTTCTTAATTGACTACCTCTGTTTGTATTAAAATAATCTTACTAAAATTCAGAAGAATCTGTTATTCTATTTTTTTCACCCGATTGATTACCCGACTGATGGGTTAATGTTTTTCGCGCGTACGTAAGTTTGATTTTGTGTATGTGGGTTTGGTCGTCGGCATAAAACACATACAACAGACGTAAGTAATAAAATTCTGAATTAGTAAAAATGAGTTCGGATCTCACTTGCCATACCTCTTTTCTTTGCTTTAAAAATTTCTCGGTGTAGTCGAAATTCTAAAATATACAATAAGTGTAACGTAACAGTTTATTTAATTTTATTTTGGCGCTATTTTCTGAGTCTGACAGTTTTTTTTAAATTAAGACTAGGTTAAGTTATTCTCTATATTGATTTTGGTTGCACTAAGATTAGTTACGGTGACTGAGATAATAAGTTCTAAGAGTGAAATAATTATTACCTTTTTACTTCCTAATAAATTAACTGCTAATCTGGATTTTAACTTTCGTTTTTAATTCTCCAATAAATCATAGAAATTTTGAAAAATTTGGCCACACATTTTTTGTTCTCAATAGTTCATTCGTTACAATTACGCTCATCCAAGTACAAAGCGATCAAGACTCGTAAGCCACAATCAGTTGAGTACAGAAAAGGGAAATTACAACAGGCCACAGAACAGCGTGGGTAGTACATGATTTGGCAGTACGAGCATACATTACACACGAGTTTTATTGCAAAGCTAAGTGGAAACAACCCACACCATTTGTTCGGATAAAGCGTACATGGGCGCGGTAATGAAAACATATCGTCTGCGCGTCTTACATATTTCATTCACAAATATACAATATCAAGTTAACTATCATAACTTAAAAATATGTGAAACTTACATTTTATCACCACAGAACAGAAAACAATTTGAAGTAAACGGCGCTAATAATATGTATTTCGCTAAAGTTATAAAAATAGGTAATATATTTATTTAGCAACGCCAGGCAATATTTCCAGACTAATATGAGCATGGCACACTATTCCCATTGCGCTAGTAAACGTGTAAAATAATTAAATCACTCTTTGCACGCAACGTTATAACGAAATACTACTGAATAATCCTTTACGTTTGGCGTAATTAGGACACTAACCTTGGGTTTCTGGGACAAAAATCTCCGTTTCAAAATTTAGTTATCTCTGTTTTGTTAAAGATTATATGTGTTATATAGTGATTTTGGAAACAGATCACTTTAAAATTTTTACTACAGAGCGACTTCTTATATAAACCCTTATTTATAATAGCAATCTTATGTATATTAAAGCTGCATCGTACTTTACATACTATTTTACATCGACTATCGAACCTCTTTGCGGGTTCAATGCGGGCCTGTGTACATTACAAATCTTTGAAACCATTTGCTAGTATCAAAGCTCTCTATGCCCTCTTGTGTGAAACGTGTGAAATCCTTATTTGAATTGGGAGATTGCAAACCTCTATCCACGTTCTAGATAAAAGATAACGTCTGCAGTTCATAGTAGAAATAACTGCATCTATACTATGTCATTTTCATTGTTTGGATTTGGATATTCGTTGGACAATTTTTTTGATTGATAATTTAATAAATGACCTATTAAAATTGTATATAAATAGAAAGATAACTTATCTAATGCACGTGACCTTAACACTGTCTCGAATACATTTAATTTGGATTAATTAACGCCAACGTAGCGCCTCGCCTACGAACTAAGCCGTGACGTCAACCGTCGAAGGCTCAGCTTCACTGCAGTGAAATTAAGTTACTTTTTCTATACTTTATTTCAAAATTAGCACCCCCGACAGGCTATTATACTTTGCGTAATCATTTTTCTCAGATTTCATCTTTTAATCTGTAATCTTACCTTTTTGAATATATTGTATTAAATGAAATAAACTTAGGTGATGAAAAACAATTATCAAATCATTCTTTTTTTGTACTTAACTATAATCTAGGTAACGTCAAAAATGCTAAAAAAAAAGTGTCAAAATCCAAAATTTTAAATTAACTTAAAATTGTTATTAATTTTCAAATCCTAAAAACAACTTCGGCATCAAAATTGTCCCGGAATTCTTTGGATAAATTTCGAAGAGATAAGACCGAAAAATTAAATTTTCCAACCCGGTGTTAATAAATCTCTTAGCCGAGTCCCGGGCTTGCGTTAGCCTAATGCGATATTTATCGCCCCTACTAAAAGAAATAAACTCTTCTCACGCAGTAAATAAGCCTATAAAATAAATAAAAACTGCCCTCCTTGACTTTAATACAAATTGAAATGAAAATCATTAAGACTTTTTGTATGAATGGATTGTTGAGACTATGTTTATAATTAACGGCATTATAAAATCTTATTATTAAAATATAATAGATATTATAGAAAAATGCCAACAATTATTGGCTAAGATTATAAATTAAATTGGATTAGTTTTGCAAATTTCACTTTTTGATCCTATCCTAGAACGATTTCCCTTTTTGAAACGAAATGTGTTGAATATTTCAGTGATGTACAAAGCAATGGGATATTCAGTATGCACAATTTGCTCCCCCGCATGTTACCGTCAGCTCTTTGACACGGGTATTCTTTAAACGAGCCATGAAAGCGCCCACAAAGCACACCTCCGTATCGTAGATCGTTCAAAAATTGGTTACTAGACAATTTCCCTTTCCTATTCCCGCATTTCTATTCAATCGTATATCGTACTCTACCTCATTGGCAATGTATTTTATGTTTTTGATCTTAACACCGATTTAATAAATAATTCTTTAATATCTTCTTTTAAGCACTGACAGTATTATCAATATACTTAGTGATCTTTAGTAAAAAGACCAAAAAATGTAAAAATAACAAATTAAAAACTGTCTTCAGGAGGCTATTTCTTCGTTGTTTTGTTCTCTATATTAAGTTTATTACTCACGCGTTCTTATACTCATAAATTAATGTGGGTGTTCCATATTTCAAACTACAGTGTGTGTATATTTGTGTGTCAGGTTGCGGTAGAGGGCGAGCGTCTACGCCGGCTGCGGGAGCGCGTGGAAGCGCAAGAGCAGAAACTACGGCGACTACGCGCGCTCCGGGGCCAGCTCGACCGCAACAAGCAGGCTAACATCGCTCTTAGTGAGTATACACAAATCACACGAACACAGCCAACGAATAGAGACTTAAGAGATCTTGTAACTCTTTGTTGAATGGGTCGATGAATGAATCATGTAACTTTGTTAATTTACTTATACATTTATAGAAAAACTGCCCTGAAATGAACCTTTAAAGGTTTTCTTTCGTGAAAAGAGGCTACTAGGAGGATATTTTTATTTTTAGTAGGGACAAAGTTGAACTTTACCTGTCAGTTTCCACTATCAAAGTACTTGTGTTTAAACCAATTACTACACTTAATCTTTTTATTCCATATAAAGTTGGTTAAGTAATATACAATAAAGATAGCCTTTACGTTTCTCAAATCTAGTAACGTTGTTAAAACATTGTTAATTAAATGTTAATAGCATAAGTACATAGTTAAACAAGATCCCTTCCGATTCCCGTAAATAGCGAGAAAGTTGGAGCAGTTTATTTAAAAGCCATCAACAGCACAATCGCTAACATTGCTTTCACTTCTAAGTAAACATATTGTTTATAATGACTTAAGTTCCCGAAATACAACGCAAAACGGATAGCTCGGAAACTTGTCGACGTTAATCGGATAATTAAAGCTGCGGGCTGCGTCAGATTAGCTATTGAGGTCTACAACAAGCTCATACACACTATAACATATATTTAGCTATGATACATAAACGCTCACACATACACTATGACATACCATTGAGGTGTATTAGCTACATTTTGTTTCTACAAACATATCTACGTCAATAATTGGTATATTATAGCCATCTATGAAACGTATGCAACAAGAATTGTCTTGTCATTGATTTACCGTTCATCTTGCTAATATTATAAATGCGTTTCAATGGACGGATGAATGTTTGTTAGAAGATATGTTCAAAACGGCTGAACGGATCTTGATAAAATGTTGCACGAAGAACATAGTCTGGAACAACACAGGTAACTAATTATTCTTTTATAAATCCGCGCAGACGGAGTCGCGGGCGATGGCTAGTTATACTTATTTAAAAATCGAAGTTATTAAGTACTAATATAACGTCCAAAGTTCGATATCACTTATTTCTAATTCTACAATTCAAAGCCACGTATTCCATGCTTTCCTTAACTAAGGCACAGATCATAAACACGTTAAATAAAAAGAAAACAACTTTTAATTCCTTGTTTAAGTAATGGTCAAGCTTCAGTAACTTTTACTGGCATTGTGAGAAAGACAGGACATTTAACAACTGCCACTACATATATTGTTAGTAGACAAGAAAAAAAAAGATTATTCAGTAGTAACATGAATAATATTAAGTCATTGAGCCCTGTCATTACGCTATTTAAACAACAGGTATTTTGTGCTTACTGACCATTGGAATTACTAGAAAAAAATTGTAAAAGAGCATTATAATTTGCTAACTAAATAAGAGAGTAATTTTGCATATGAATTACGAACAAGTATAGAAAATTAGTTTTAAAGAACACGAAAGGCTATTTTTGCAATCTCCTTTTGCGTAATATTTTACTTCTTACTAATATTATAAATGCGAATGTTGGATTAATGGATGTTTGTTAGAAAATATTTATAGAACGACTTGATGGATCTCATTGAAATTTGACATAGATGTAGAACATCGTTTAACAACACATAGACATTTTAGTTGGAATCCTTTGGTGCGAATGGCACGCTTTCGTTACCAAGTCAAGTGTCAGAAAGATTAGTGAGGGGACATAAACGTTGATATTCCAATAAGGCGAATGTTGCGCCGATACACCGGCACAGTGTCGGATTTCCTTCCTAACAGTACGGAATAGTGGGTGATAGCTAGTATGAAAAGTAAAAGGAATGGTTGCTGTGTTTTTTTCAAGATAAATGCATTTCTTTGGTACAAAAATCGATCTGATCTGAGTAGTGTTGTAAACAAGCTATATATATCGGATAACGATTTTGTTTATCACTTTTGTTAACAAGTTTCTTTGTTTAACGACTTTGAACTTGTTTAAGACTTCTTTATTATCCTCCTTTATTCATCTTTTTTTGGGACCGTTCTTTATCTTTAAATGAATAGAATTAGTTTAAAAACTTATGGATATAGAACAAAAGCAATGAAAATATCATAAATAATTAAGCGATGAGAATCTTGAGCGAGTTAAATTATTAAACAATAGTCTTATTAATATTATAAATCCAAAAGTTTAGATAAATGGATGGATGGCTAAACAGATCTTGATGAAATTTGACGCAGATGTAGAACATAGTGGGGAAGAATACGTAGGCGCACAAGATTTTTTAGTACCGCACGGACGAAGTCGGGGACGACAACTAGTAACATTAATGATAATATAAAATAGACAGAATTCATTGTTATTAAGTAATAAAATATTTTTTCATACAATCGCAACATAAAAAATATTGCCAATTTCCAGGTGACTACAGATAAAGAGAGGCTGTAGCATCATTTATTTAACAGTAGTCCTGTTACGTTAGATAGCCGATTTTAATTTTGTATTACAACGCCAACCCTTTTGTACCAAGTCAAGTTTAACCTTTCAAATTATTTCGTATTGTGTAAGCGTAAAGCGTCAGCTTCCTTTGGCTAAAACACCAAAAATCTCACTTTAAATCCACTTGTAAATGTAATATTGTTTATGTATGATCCCAAGCTATCTATGGCTCTGTAACAAAATAAGTAATAGAAAAGGTTAATAACAGATATTTTAATAAATATTAATTTCATACCTAAATTTGATTAAAAGAATATCTGAATTTTTATTGTTTTTTTTTTAAAATTAGGTCATTGAAGGAAAACAACCCTTAAAATGCTTGAAATTTACAAACAAAAAAAAGAAACAAATTAGTTCAGGATTAATAAATTCAAAAATGCCGAATGTAATTTAGTACGTGCGTAATAAAATACACCTGGTCTGGGTGTATTGCTGGTGACCAATCACCATCAACATTACGCCTTATTTACGAACACCGGCGCCGGCCCTGTCGAATGGAAATAAGAAACTTAATTAAAAATTGACGCGATAAGAGTCCTCGCGGCGTTCAATTAAGTATGACATCTTTCAGTCAACTCATTTCTTATTAAGATTTTCCTACGATATTTCCTTTTTAATAATGAAAGTTAAATATCTTATATTTTTAGACATTACCTTAAATTAGCAAAAAATAATAGCAATTAAGTATATTTAAAACATTGTTATAATGCAGAAATATTTTAACAAGGGGCATACATAAAATACTCAACTAAAAACTTATCTAAAACAAATTAAATACTATGGAAGGCAGTTAACCTATCAACGTGAGAACAAACGTCTTCTCAACACCTTTTATCATTGGGATGCCGACACTGAATTTATTAACTTCAGCCGCTCACAAATACCTCTTTGTTAAAACTTGGTTCATTTGTTTCGGCTGATAATTTATCGCCCAACTTCTTACATGTTTTGAATACCTAAGTTAAACGTAAATGGTTTCTTATTGAATAAGTATTTCCATACAAAATAAAGCTAAAATGATTATATTTGCTTAAAAAAAGTTCTAGGTCAAGTATTCTTTGACGGTTCTAATTTATTTTGCAAGAAATCGATTTGGTATTTCATTTTGATAACGGGCTTACTATCTAGAACACTGAGGGGATCCAAGTCTATACTTAGGAGTGACATATTTCGGCTCTTATTAATAACTTTTTTACGAACTATTTGAGTACAGTTGAAAACCATGGACATTATCTAACTTTACCCTTTTATATTTCTAAACTTTACTTTTCATAGAATACACTGAATGAGTGCAAAATTTTTGCATTCTCCGATACATTGGTCAGAAAATAAAACTAATGAACAGTAACAGGCTTTTCTACAGAAACGAACGTAGCAATTTCTACTATACTTGTTTTAGATCAAACTGTTCGTTCTGAGTAATTGAAATTATTAATAGTCTGCAGTTTCAAATGATTGAAAATTTTCATAACTTTTTTCTTTATTTTAAATTAAAGTACCTATCTCTTTAAATGATTGATGATTAACGGAGACTGTGCCTTCAATGGTTAGGTTATAAGGTTAGTAAGCAATGGACTCACCGTGGGTTTCTGAAACCAAAATCCTCGCTTAAAACATATTATCACTTGCCGAAATAAAAGACAGCGATGACAATATGTTTTATACAAAGATTTAGGTCTCAGAAACCGACGGTAAGTATATCTGTTAGACTTATACTAGCTGTCGATGTAGAACATTATAAAGATTATTGACTTTAGTATGATTAAATCTTACGTCAAAACTCTAGTCACTATTAAATTTAAAATTACGTACATGGCCATCTAGTATACTGTCCTTGAGAAACCAATATGAAACGTCGATTTTATGCAAAATGTAAAAGGTTTTATTCGAAAAATTGCAACGTCACGTACGCCTGTCTTTCACTTGTGTACGGAGCTCGGAGATCACGAACGAAACAATACATTCGGCCGCTAGTTGATGAGGTTTCCATTTAGGCTGCATTCTCTCCAGTGTCGGATAGAAAATCTCGACGAAGCTGAGTCGACATTTCCATTAGGAGCTGGTCGTTGGAAAAATTTTTAAGCTGCACTTTGTTTATTTAGATTGACTTGTATCTGTTTTTGAACCAATGCAATTTTACTAATGACTATATAGTGGTTGTCTTTGTTTTTACTAATAAAATTATAGTGTAGAATTATATCTACACTAAGTGCTTAAATAATTATTAAGGATCTATGTGCGTTAGGCTTCTTGCAGACGTTTGTATCAGACACAGATCAGATGATGCCTGTTATACGATAAGTCCGCCGTATACATTCAAAAATTATCATACGTACGTGTTAAATTAAACAAAATAAGCAATTATAAATGCTTAATTCGTTTATTAACTTTCACCAATTGTGTTTAAAGCAATAATAGAAAACTTCGTATTCTACAATGTTTCTAAAAGCCGTGTTGTTTCAAAACATTTCATATTGTTCTTTGCGTTGATTTATTGCGGGAGTTGTAACATG